TAGCACAAATAATGATTGGCCTGGAATGCTTCATTTTGGGGATAATTGGAAGCTTATTTCTCTTGTCCTCCAAATTCCAGAGTATTTTGCTCTGTTTTTACATCGGCTACCCATTCTGGGCTGCAATGTCTGTGAGTATATCTTCATAGTTTACTTTTAAAATTCAAAAATAAGTATGTATTTTATACACTCTTTGTTATTGTTGTTATGTGCCATGGAGTTGGTTCTAACGCATAGCGACCCTGCACAGGGTTTCCGAGTAGCTATGTCTATATATGTATTATCTAGAGATACTGTGCCAAGTATTTATACAGTTCATAATAGCAGTCTCATGAAAAATTTAAAGTATATGGCAAAAATGCTTTTGAGTTTTAGTCTCTCTTCTTTAAAAGGAGAGATTCTTCTGAACTGAGATCACCGAGACAGACTTCAGTGACTAAGTAAACTTTCACACAGGAATATATTTGGATAGATTAAGATGAGAGTATGAGGAAAAGACCAAACTCCTACTTCTCCATCTCACACATTCACAATCAATGGCACTAACCTTTAGTACTCTTCTCATCTTCTCTCCACATAAATGTTCTTCTGTCCATATAACTATTTCTGTTTTTCCTTTGTTTTTATGGTTATCTGAAAAAGAACACATACATATTTTTTTCTTCATTTTTTTTTTTTATTAGAGTTACTACCTGCATTTATATATTCACTTTAACTTTAAGATGTTTTTGCTCCAACAATGACTCCATGGTTCTTTCTGTGAAGCTAAGAAAAGTTAAAAATAGACCATATTCAATGTAGTCAAATTCAAAAGCTGTATCCTTAGGAATATTTTGTGAGACTATATTTTTTGCTTGGGGAGTATGAGTGTTAAGTCGTCTGGGATGGAGGGTGAATAAGGTAGAAGGGAAATAACTTCCCCTAACTGGTGTCTTTCTGTCTTATGAACAGTTTATCACTTCTGGATCTTTGAGCATCTTATCTACAAAAAAACACACGAAATTCATGGTGAGTATCATACTTCCTTTTCTGTATTAAATGAGTAAATGAGAACAGCTGACTCCGACTCCCTATACAATGCCAGGACAGCACATCATTTGGCTGTTCCAATACACTTTTTATTAATTAAACTGACACTTTTGCTTCAATGGTCTACGTAAGTCCCTTATAGAAAATGAAGCATCTACTTTGTATCTCAGAGAAGAGGAAGGTATTTATCTCTCCATATTTTAACAAATATTTCCAAAAATCTCTCCATAAGGAGAATAGTAAGGAAGTCTTTAAAATGGTTGCGGTAATATATTTTGGGTTGCTGAAATACGTGTGTGTGTAGACAGACACAGAAAGACAGATAG